GTAATGAATATATTCGAGAGAATTTACTCGTGGCACCAATAGGTGATAAAATGAGAGAGAGTAGACTTAGGTGGGCCGGCCATGTGTGACGCCGACCAAGTACAATACTTGTTAGGAGGTACGAATTAGTTCAAGTTCAAGGGTAGGCCCAAAAGGACGTGGTTGGAAGTAGTCCGAAAAGATATGTGGATTTATGGCCTCAATGATGATATGGCCTTTAATAGAGCTGAATGGAGAACCAGGATTCATGTAGCTGACCCCAATTAATTGGAAAAAGGCTAAAATGATGATGATGATGAACACGTCAGCACACTTTGCAAAAGTTCGTGCACCAAAGCCTTATACATAGACTGACCGTGGCGATCCTGGTTCGACCCTCTATTCTTGTCCTAATCTAAATACATTTGAACCACAGTTTCCTGAGCAATCGTTCAGCTACCCTACCAATTGTTGAATAAAATTGGGCTAGTGGTAATGGGTTTCTGTGTATCTAACACAGCTTAGGACTGCATGGTCACTTTTGATTGTAGCAGACTCTGTTTGAATTCTACTTGAAGCCAGAGTGATTCAAAACCTTGACCTTCTGACCTAGTATGTCTCTCCTTAGTCATCCTGGGCCCCTTTTGGCCTAGTTCCATAGAAAACCATGTTGTATTCTAGTTGAACTCTTAGGAACCCTAAAATACCCTTTAGAGTCCAAGCATCAAAACACCCCCAAACCTCATCCAAATTGGGCTGGATTTGATTTTAAATCGTAGAGGAGGTTATAAGCTTTCGAACTGTCCAAGAATAACTCAGTTTTGATATACAGTTTGAAAGTTATGGGCAAAATACGATTTGTTGCCTAAAATTTCAATCTAGTCCCCCATCATTGTGGTGTGCATTTGCAGCAATGTGATGTGCTTCGGCAGAAGGGTGTACATCAGCCGCCATGAATGAGGTCAAATGTTCCCAAACTTTTCCAGGAGCCTCTGGGTCCTTTTAAGGTCTGTTTGATCTTGGATTTTGTGATTTTGATTCCTAATTATCATTGAAATTCAAGATTTAAGATCCTTGGACTGATTTTGAGTTTTATCCATGTCCAAATGTACTACTAGGACCAAACTCAATTGAGATCTTAGACCCGTGGGTTATCTTTCTTCAGTTGCCCTAGTAAAACCTGTTGGAAATTGCTTTGAATGCCAGTCCAGCGTACTACAAGCCTGACAGTAACCTTGAGACGGCAGTTGTAATCAAAGCCCTAGGAAAAACCCATTGGAAATGATATATAGTCTATAGAACAATCCTTACGGAGCATGAGTGAACTGTAATCAGAAGTTGGCACCATTTGACAAAAGATGAAGCACCAATGTGAACCGTGTTTAATTTGATGCAGACCGCATCAATGTCAATGCGGACTGCAGTGGTAGAGTGATCTGGAGTGGGTTTGAGTTTTATCCATGTCCAAATGTACTATTAGGACCAAACTCAATTGAGATCTTAGACCCATGGGTCATCTTTCTTCAGTTGCCCTAGACCTATTTTGACCTAAAACCTGTTGGAAATTGCTTTGATTGCCAGTCCAGCACCCTACAAGCCTGACAGTAACCTTGAGACATCAGTTGTAATCAAAGCCCTAGGAAAAACCCATTGGAAATGATATATAGTCTATAGAACAATCCTTACAGAGCATGAGCGAACTGTAATCAGAACTTGGCTCCATTTGACAAAGGACGAAGCACCAATGTGAACCGTGTTTATTTTGATGCAGACTGCATCAATGTCTATGTGGACTGCGGTGGTAGAGTGATCTGGAGTGCGTTTGGTCCCAATTTTTTCTGGAAGCTTTTTGGGGTACTCCCAAGGTGTTTGATCTGAATGTTTGATGGATTTTGAATGTTAATTTTCTTTGTGATTGGACATCCAAGACTTCCAGACTAACCTTGAGACATCTGTATGAGAGCTGGATGAGGGGTGGGACAGGATGGAATCTAGTTTGAGTCCAAAGTTGTTTAATTCTAGAAGTTCTAAAAAGTGTGGATGACTAACAATCCTAGGATTCAGATTTGCCATTAGGAGTCAGGATAGGTGAAGAATTTTTGAGATATTTTTATTAGAAATGTGTAAAACCCAGTTGGATTAGGCTTAGAAATACCAAGGAGGGCACCACCAAATTTAGATTCAAGTTGAGTTCCAGTGGCCGTCATCCTGGACCGCTTTGACGCAGACTCGCGCCACGATGATGGATAAACAACTGATCTGTTTGATCCCAAATTTTGTAGGATGATAGATTAAGGATTTTTAATCCCATTAGCAGTGTAAGATTTGGTTTTGACATATTTACCAAGATCTTGCTCTTTTGCGATTTTTAGGCTTTGGGATCTTGATCCTTCCAATTATGGATCCAGATCCTAAGTTACATGGGATCCAAGTTCCTTTGCATCATATATGAGGGTTCATTGGTAAACTGAATCGAGATTCCATCAATGTGGGATTAAGATTCCCTTAGTGGTAGACTCTATTGTCCCTCTCACCCTCTTTAAGTCGTGAATATTTTGCATAATTAGCTAAGACTTTTAAGCCTTCTATGATATTACTTGCTTGTTTTGTTCGTACATAATTTCTGATGGTGGTAGACTATATTTTCCCTTTTGGGGTTAGGCTCTTTAGCAGGTCATGAGTTACCTTGAGCTTCAACTTAACACTTATCTCAATACTTTTTTATCCAACAAAGTAGAAGGATGGCCATGATTGTTATTACGTCACATAAAGTCATAAACTAGAATGCAAAATTTAAAATCTAATATAATGATCTGATTTTCTTAATTGTTTATAAAATTTTAAAATTTAATTTCTTTAAAAAATTTATTATATGCATAAAACATAAACTGCACCCAAAGGAATGCATAAGCATTAAATTACTATAGAACAATAGGTTGTCTTACATTTTTAATAAATTTAAAATTTTAAAAAACTTTATTTGTTTAGAATATTGTACAGACTGCACTCCTAAACTCGGGAGCCCTAATTAATTGCAATCGACAATTTCTATTTTTAACAAGATGGAGGTAGAACATGTAGAACTCGCCATTCCATTCCTAGATGTTCTTATCGAGCTCTCTAACATATTGAGTTGTACAGACAATGATCCTGAACATAGGGACCTTCTAGTCTTTCACGATCCCTCTGTTCCGATACAATACCGGAACCGGTTAGAATCCCGATCACGGTAACTATGGTTTTTGACCAAAAAAAAAAAATCCCTGTGTACGTTGGTCCGAATCATCAAACAATAGGAGACATGATTATAAGAGAGCCATAGCATGAGCGAAGAGATTCCTCTACCAAAAACTAATTCCAGAGAGGTCAATTCAGCCCTAGATCATTTAGAAACCAAGGCTTAGGTCATCTAGAACCCCAATTAAGCTAGAAAACCTTAGGTCTAGCATAGAAATGCTAGATCTGATTTTTAGGTTCACCAATTTGAATCCAAGACCTTTCCATGTTCAATGAAACCTATAGTTCAATGTTCAATTCATGCATGTCATCAAGTTGCTGAGGACACAATACGAATTTAATAAAAAAGTATGAACCCCAACGCCAACTGCCGGCTTGTGGGCCTAGTTCGGTAAGCTTTCTATAATTTATCTTTGTTGTCATTACTTGAATGTTCTTGTAGCCTTAGAATTTAATTTTAACATAAAATTTGTACGAGAATGGGGTTGGGGTTGGGGTTGGGGTCGTGGTGGTAGCACCACTTGTGTCCCAGCTAAGGTCTAGGCTTCCATTCTCATCTAACGCATTAAAAAAACCACTTAACGATTTCAAAAAACAAGTAGGGTCTCGTCATCCTCACTGAATTACCCAAAAACAAAACATAAAATTTGCTTTATTTCTTGAGAAATTTATCAAAATACCTATAAGAGATGAACTATTTAATGTTCTACACATTTGCAACTATTCCAACTCAAGATCACATGTTTTCTCATGGGTAGTTTGAAATTAAATCAAAAGATATGGGTAAGGTGTTAAAAGTGGTCATCTCTTTTCTGGTAATTTGATAAATTTCTATTATTTATTTTATATCAAGCTTTTATAAACTTAATAATTTTGAGTGAGATCTAGCTAGTGCTTTATAAACTTTAATAATTTTGATCGGGATCTAACTAGTGCTACTGGCAGTTTACAGGACGATATCGTAAATCTATGAATCACAAACCGTAATTTGGCTGGACCCTGATCCATTTCTGAATCTTATTTAGTTGCAATTCCTCAGAGAGGGTAAATTCTGAATTTGCCATTCTGGATTTGAGTATGGACAACTTGGACTCAAAAGTTGATACTCTTCATATCCGTTGCTATAAAAAATGTTGAATAACATGTCCATTCATGGTAAAGGTGTAAATTACATGGTATGTTTGTGACAGTGTTACCCCGATACTCCATATAGGCCCTGGTATTGTATGTTGACACATGTCACATGGTTTAGACTCGGCCCTGACAGGTGACCATCCGTGTCGAGTGATGTTAGGGATTCTAAGTACCGCATCAACACTTATTGTAGACGTATCTTCCATTTATTGTCATCAACAGCAGAGTGCCTAAGTGGTAGCATGGACTTACATGGTAGAGAGGTTATAGGTTTAAGCTCCACCAAGTCCAAACACTAGCTAAACTTCTAGCACTTTTTTTTTTTTCTCTCAGGACCAAAACCTTTTTAAGGCTGCAAAAGGGCTTGATCTCTTTACCATTTTTTGAGATGACGTTGTCTCTACCATCAAGTGTGTACATGTTCTTGTATAAATATTGGTAAGAGGATCTCCCCATTAAGATATCGGGAAAAAAAAGAAGAAAAAAAAAAGATAATTTAAAAAAAAAAAACAGTTAACAATATCAACAAAAATATTGGTGTACATAATTTGTATATTCTTTTACAAAGGAAAAAGTTCACATAACAATAATGCATGCCCGGGGAACTGAACCTTAGACCTTTCTCTCTCGCCATTGACTTGAGACTACCATCTAAGCCACTTATGATATTTTGTTAAATTATAAAAATTATTATGTATATAATGCTTAAAGAGTAAAACATTGTACATATGTGTTGAAAAGTACTGCCTGTTTTAGCTTATGTACTAGGCACTCTACACACGAAAAGTACTACCTTTCTTAGCTTCTGTACTAGCTCTAGACACGCATTGACACCAGCATGCGTGTTGGTGTCCATGTAACACTGGTTTGTGTGTGTAAATTGTGGACCCAAACAAACTCTTCGGGCATAAAAATGGTTAAGACTACTAATATTACGAGTTTACAATGTATCTGCAGTATATAATTGAATTCTTGTATTACGCATGATAACTTTTTCTTGCTTTATATTTTATTTGAATTATATTGTTAGTTTGTGAAATCCTTTATTTACCAAAGAGAAAAACAAGGAAAGTATCCAGAAATCAAAGATCATCACCTTCCAATGAAATGATGGATTGATTTGTGATGGAAAAATAATTGGGCTGCTATTGGGTGTCATATCCTGATTTGGTGGGTCTCTCCTATACCCTATTATTGTCCATCATTTCATTGGACAGTGATCACCCAATGGACCATGTTTTTCCTATAATCATCGCACACCCACGCCCTCCACCCCCCCCCCTCCCCCCCTCCCAGAAAAAAAGGAAAGAGGTTCGCTGGGGATCTTACGATTTATGACAATGCTTATGTCTTTGTTAAACAGACATGGATTCCAAGGTCAAAACCATGATCAAACTCATAGAAGAAGATGCGGACTCCTTCGCAAGGAGGGCAGAGATGTACTACAAAAAGCGGCCCGAGCTTATGAAACTGGTTGAGGAATTCTATAGAGCATACCGTGCTTTGGCAGAGAGATATGACCATGCCACTGGTGAATTACGCCATGCTCATCGTACAATGGTGGAAAACCACATTACCTTTGCGCTTCCTGATGATTCACCACATGGGTCTCCTGCAACTGATGTGGAACCCCATACACCGGATATGCCACACCCAATTAGGCCATTATTCGATCCAGATGACTTGCATAAAGAAAGTGGAGGAATTTCTTCACATTTTCAAGGGACAAAGAGGAATGGGCCATTTAATGAAGAGGGTGATGGTGCTATAAGAACAAAGGGGTTGAAGCAGCTTACTGAGCTCTTTGCCCCTCATTCTGAGAAACATGGGGTGGAATCAGGTGAGGATCATGTAAAATTTGGGGATAGGAGGGCCAAAAAGGGACTGGTTTTTCAGGAGGAGGGGAGAAGTTTAGAGCTTAAAGTGCGAAACGGAGCACGAGACCATGAGACAGCTGAGGTGGAAGTGAGAGAAATGGGTACACAGTCAGATGCTTTGAACAAGAGAATCAGTGGTCTAGAGAGTGAGATCTCACAATTATCAACAGAGAATCAGAATCTCAAATCATTGAAGCTTTCTGAAACTGAATCTCTCGAAAGAGCTAGAGATGAAGTTAAAAGTTTGCAAGAAGCTCTCTCTAAATCACGAGAAGAAACAGAAAGTGCCCTTCTCCAATGCCGCCAACATCTAGACCTGTACAATAGCTCCAAAGGGAGGATAGCCAATTTAGAGGCTGAATTCTCTAGGGCTCAAGAAGAAATCAGAAGGGTTAATGACAAACTGCTCAAGGGAGTTGGGTTGTTAAAGAGCACTGAAGAAAGATGCCTTGTCCTAGAGAAAACAGACCAGTCCTTACATAATGAGATGGATATTTTGGTGCAGAGACTTATGGCACATCAAGATGAACTAAAAGAGAAGAACTGTGAGCTCGAGAAGCTCAAGACATATTTGCAAGATGAACACTTGAAGGCCATTAAAACAGAAGAGTCTCTTCAGTCTCTGCAACAGCTGAATATTCAATCACAGGAGGAGCAAAGGGTTTTGGCAATGGAGCTCTGTGGGTTACGGCAGAAGATGGAGAAACTTGAGGAGGAGGTTCAGTTTCGTGTGGACCAGAGGAATGCTTTGCAGCAGGAGCTTTACTGCCTGAAAGAGGAGAGAAACGATTTAGACAGGAGGCACCGAGGCATAATTGAGCAAACTGAGTCGTTGGGTTTGGACTTTGATAATTTGGGGCCATCCATTAAAGGCATTCAAGATGAAAATCTCCATTTGAAAGAGCTTTGCCAGAAAAACGAAGAAGAAAAGCAAATGTTGACAGAAAAATTGCAGAGTTTGGAAAAGGTTAAGGAACTTAAGCAGGTCTTGGAGAATTCCCTATCTGATAAAGACATAGAGTTGGAAGGATTAAGAAGCAAATTGGAGAGTCTGGAAAAGGAAAAGAAAGCAGCCCTTAATCTGGTTGAGCAACTTGAGAACTCATTGAAGCTGGAAAAAGAAGAACATTTAGTGAGTAAGGAATCAGGCCAGACCCAATTGGTTAATTTGGAAAACCAGATGCTTCTTTTGCAAGAAGAAGTGAACAAGAAAAAAGCAGAGTTTGAGGAGGAAAAGGAGAATTGTTTAAAAGCTCAGGCTGAAATATTGATATTGAAGGATTCTGTATCTGATAAAGACACCGAGCTGGAAGGATTAAGAAGCAAATTGGAGAGTCTGGAAAAGGAAAAGAAAGCAGACCCTTAATCTGTTGAGCAACTTGAGAACTCAGTGAAGCTGGAAAAAGAAGAACATTAGTGAGTAAGGAATCAGGCCAGACC